TCTGTGTTTTTGCAACTTCTTCTTTTCGCCATCTCCCAGTTAAGGCGCGGAAGCACACACAGGTAAAGTGTACGTGAAGCGAAAATGACTACAATGCAGAAGGTGGACGCGACGCTTGCGAGGTTTGACCGCAAATCTCCGCGGGCGGCCTACGTGCAGGTGTGCGAGGAGATGGGCATTCGCCCGCAGAAGAGCCTTGGCGCCCTCCTCAGCGACGCCCCCCGTGACTGGGACAAACATCGCGTGTTCGACTGCGACAAGTTTATTCTTGGGCCGAAGGGGTGTATGGCGCTTATTCCGCTGTTGGTCTGCAGCCGCTCGCTGCGCCGCGTAAGTCTGCGTGGCTGCCAAGTCACGGACGAGTTTGTCGCCGAGCTGACGGAGACGCTGCAGGACCATCAGTGCATCCGCAGCGTGGACGTGGGCGAAAACCCGCTTGTGACGGTGTACAGCGCGGACCCCATCATCAAGCTGCTGCGCGTGAACAAGAACGTTGTGCGGTTTGACCTGGACGGAACCCACATTGGCACCAACGTCTCCAACCTCATCAGCGACCTCTGCGACAGGAACCACGAGGAGGTTGCGAACTACTATGCCGATGACTACTTTCGCATGAAGAACATCTTCAACTACCTCGACGGGGACGGCTCCGGGTGGGTCTCGCTGCGCAGCCTTGTGCTCAACGCGCCCTTCCCGGTGCTGCAGGAGCAGCTCATCGAGCGCATCTCCCTGCGACGGCCGCGAAAGCGCTCTGACGGCACCATCTCCGTCAACACCTTCCTTGAGCTCGTATACCACAACTACAAGACGGAGGTGGAGATCGCCAGGCGGGCGAAGGAGGAGGACACCGACTACCAGTGCATCGTCGCCAACTGGAAGCGCCTGCTGGATGCGATGGAGGGCGACGGTATGGAGGCGCTCATGGAGACGCGGGAGCGGCAGAAGGGCGAGGACGCCGACGAGGAATCGATGACCGAAGTTCCGGCGCCGGGGAAGTTGCCCGTGCTTCCCCCGGAGGATCTCCACCGCCTGCGCATTCGGGGCCGCGTGCTTGGCCCCGCGGAGGCTCGCGAGATTGTCGAGGTGGCCATGAAGCTCCAGGCCGACGCCGATGCGCAACGCCTGCACGGCGCCGCGGAGGAGGCGGCGGCGGCGGCGGCGGGTGACGACGACAACAGCGACGGCGCAGCGGCGGCGCAAGGGGAGCGGGTGGTGCAGCTCACCGTGCCGTGCCTGCGCCGGGCCTACCGCGGCGTCTCCCAGCCGGAGCAACGACCCAACCGCTTCCGCTTCCTGCAGGAACACGAGGAGGACTACATCCCGCCCATGATGCGCGCCGGCTCGCGGCTCATCAGCATCTCAAAGCTGTCGTTCCTCAACAGCATCGACTCCTCCCCCGGCGGCGGCAGCGTGACTTCGCGTGATGACGATTTCGGGATGGACGCGGACGAAACCCGCACCCGTTGGTGGGACTTACCGCCCGCCATGGTGCGCCTCGTGACGAAGTTCTTCAACAAGCAGGTCGCGAAGCTGCCAAAGAAGCGGCAGTCCTCGCTCGCCGTCTCGCCGCGCACCCAGCGCGACAACGCGATGCAGCGGTCCTCCATTCCTGTGACGGCCTTCCTCGCCGCGAAGTTGGTGACAGACCTGGAGTCCATTCGCCCCCGCATGCTCGCGGACAAATTCATGCAGTACGGCATCCCCATCGACGTCTCCACGATAACCTTGCAGGAGATTGTCAACTGCCTGAACGAGTACTACGTGGAGCTGAGCGTGGAGAAGCCGATCACGCTGCAGGAGATACGCCACATGTCCACGCCCAAGCTGTCGGTGTCCCACACCTCGGCCACTACGACAAAAACTGAATTGAGTGTCACCGGCGAGAGTTAGGCGGGGTGTCCGCCGGCGGTGCGGTGCGGTGCGGGGGGCGCAGCGAATGGATGTTAAAGGAGAGACAACTGGAACTAGGAACGGGGGAAAAAAAGGAGGGAGGAAAAAGGAATAAATGAAGCGAAAGGAAAAGGAAGAAAAAAAAAAAAAACAAGGGGAAACCCTTTTACGTAGGGGCGGGTTCATGATGTATATCAAGCCAAGTCGATGTTTTGGGCTCTTGCCTGTGTGTGTTTGGCCGAGATGGGAGCAACGACAAGAGCGCAGCAAGCGAGAGAGCGGGGGCGGAGAGGGCGACAGCGGCGGGGGCGAGTGAGGAGAAGCGCACGCAGGCATGCACATACACACACATACAGCAGGTACACTGTAGACGATGATTATTGCCAACTTTCTTAATTTGTATTGTGTGTGTGTTTTTTTGTTGTGCTTGTTTTTTGTTTTTACCGTTTTGATTGCTGCTGCTGCTGCTGTTGTACCGTTTTTTTTTTCCCTTCGCCCCATCCACGCTGCGCGTGCCACGTCTGGGGGCGGCGGCCCTCCCTCCCCGCACCCGCCGCAATGTAACATAGTCGCGATTGCCGGAGCTTCACTCTTTGCGTCCCACCACCCGCCATTACCACCACCACCACCACCGCCGCCCGGGGGGGGGGGGGGCATGAGCGAAGGTGCAGAAGAAAAAAAAGCAAAACAAAGGGCGAGGGGGAAGTGACCCACCATCTGTCTCGCGCTCTGCAACGCATGCCGCTTCTCTTTTCTTGCGGGGCCGCCCCGGCCAGGGTGAAAGAAGCAGAAAGCGGGGGAAAAACGAAGGTGGCGAGGAACTGTACATATACATACATACACACAAAGGAGAAACCGCGAGAGGGAAAAAGCAGCTACAGCAGCAACAGAGATACCCACGTTGAAAAGTAGAGAAGCGAAGAGACCGTGTCCAGCGCGGGAGTCGGAGAGGTAACAAAAAGTAAAAAGGCAAAAAAAAAGAAAACAAAGGAGCAAAACAAGGCAAACAGGGTGCAATAAAAGGACCGCCGTGATGCTTGTCGAAGAAGATATCCTGAGGAGCAGTGAGCGCCAACAGGGGAGTATGCTCCTCAGCAACGCGGGAGCCTGCGGTGATACGAACGGCGTTGTCGCCGCCGCGAACTTCGAGCCCACGTCGGGAGAGAACACGGATGGAGTGGAGGACAAGCTGTACCAAGGCGACCTGGACAACGGCAGGGGTGGCGGTGGCCTGTACATGGAGAGCGGCATGGAATTTGTCATCAGCCTCGACGACAACGACGACGATGATGCCCCCACCGTTTCCTTGGCCGCACAGTCGGAGTCCGACTCCTTGCCCGGCCACCGCTGTGGTCCCAACGAGGGGAGCCCCAAACAACAGGCCGACGCCGCCAACAACGGGAATGCCGCCTCACAGCAGCGGCAGCAAGTGCCCCGTGGCGGGTGCCCCGCCTCCGTGGGAAACGGCAGCACAAACTCCGATGTCTTTTTCATTTCCTACAGCAGTTGGACAAACCATTTGCCCAACGATAGCGTGACCGGCGAAGTCTCACCGGCGGTCTCCTCTTCCCTGGAGCCGTCGGGGGCGGGGGGTGGTGGGGTGTCGCCACAGCAGCTGCCGCAGCAGTTCGAGGTGCCCTTCGGGGGGAATTCGCTCGAGAGGGACGCGGCGGGCTCCGAGTCCAGGCGGCAGCCACAGGATGAGATACGAAGCAACCTGTTCGTCTCGGGCCTCCACTCCAGTGTGACGGATAACGAACTGTACAATCATTTTCACCCCTACGGTGAGATTGAATCGGCGAAGGTGATGCTAGATATCCACACAGGAAAGAGCCGCGGCATCGCTTTTGTGAAGTTTAAGGAAGTTGCTGATGCCGAGAAGGCCGCAGATGACATGAATAACTCCATTTTCCATGGGGATACGATCGCCGTGCGGGTGGCCAAGCCGCATGCCGCCTACCGTCCCGGTGCGCCCACGAACAAGACCTTTGTGCGGAACATCCCACTCAGTGTAAAGAAGGTGGATCTCATTCAACACTTTGGACGCTACGGTGAGGTGATGGACGTCTCCATTCATAACGACACGGCGCAGCGGTCCTCCAACAAGAGGCGGAACGTTGCCTTCATCACGTACTCAACCAAGGAGGCAGCCGCGAATGCGGCGAAAGAGACACACACAAGTACACCGTTTGAGGACTGTGAGGGCGTCCCGCTGCTTGCGAAGGTTGCTGAGGACTCCGCTCACCGCACTGAACGTCTCGCCCGGCGCGGGGCCTGTCGCCACGGCAACCTGAAGAACAGCATAAACAGCGCGAGCAATAGTCTCACTAGTTACGTGCCAGGGCCTCCGTCCTCACACACGCCAGGCCCAGTGTCGCAGAAAGTGTTGGAGCAGACCTTTTCAGCTAGCGCCCCAGCGTACCCGTTAATGCCGCCGCTGGGTGGACGGCCCGTCCTTCCCGATCCGTACTCTGGGGGTGCTGCAGCCCCGGCGTTTTACGCAGCCCCGTTTCTTTCCGTGCCGCCAGCTCACACTGGGGCCCCGCCTGTCTTCCTTCTTGGTCCAGAATCAAGACCGGCCGTGCTCGCACCCTCACTGCCCTATTCTTTCTTCGGCAATTCCCTGCGGACGGTGGCGCCAATGAACTCCTTGACGGATACGGTGCCTGCCGCAGCACCGGCGCCGCAGCTGATGGTGTACCCCCCCGGCACCCCTCCCGTGGTGGCGCCACGATCGACATTTCTTTGCTATTTGCCAAACGGGCAGATGACGCTTGGCGCCACGCCGCCGCAGTAGGGCGATTCAGAGGAACAGGAAGAGAAGGAAAAACGAAAAAAAAACAACAATAACAAGAACAAAAAAAACGATAAAAACACCATAAATATATATATATATATTTATATATTTATATGCAACGCCGGTGGAAGGCAAAGCACAAGCTGAAGAAACTAATGAAAACGGTGTTGGCAATTCAAGCGCAAGGAAGGAAAGAAAAAAAAAGTCAACAAACGTTAACTGACGGGGTGTTGTGGATAAAGTGCCTGCAGTGGGGAGGCGAATATAGTGTGAGAAGGGGGGAGGGGGATCGTCCGTTAGTTAACACACAGGTATACATGCATTCATCCACCCTCGCATTGGCGAAGTCTAAATGCTGGCAAGCGGAGGATGGGTGACTCGAATGCTCACAAAGACCGTAGAAAACTCCAGGGCATATGTACAGACGGGCCGTCTGGTAGGGTCAAGATGGAAACAAGCAAAGGTAGAGGGAAAAAACGATAGAAAAAGAAAATGGAAAATAAACAGTATGAAAGGAAAACACGCGCCATCTAATTTGGGTTGTTTTTGTAAGAAATTGTTTAGAACATAGTTGGAGTTGCTATTAGGTGAAACTGGGGGGGGAGGGGGAGGAGGA